AAGCAATACAATTACCTCTGCATGGCTAGACAGACCGTCTTTGCAATAACATCGGCTGCACCTGTTCAATGCATGACGGCTACTCCCTTCTCTTGTGACTGGGCCGCGGTTCATTTATCTATAGATGCAGACTAGACATTGACCCCTTCTCCCGTCCCTGCAAATCCATTGCATCTGTTTCACAGGGCTTTAAAAACAAGTGTTTGGCTGTATTCATGGAAACCAGCATGAGACTTTGTAAGAGCTCAAACATAAACACGAGGAGAGAGGGGGACGTTTCATGGAGCAATGAGTCTATTCGTCTTTAGACCGGCAACAGCATCACTTGTTACTTGTTAAAAATGCAAATTCTTAGACACATACCACTATTCATATCTGTGGCTTCAAGGCCTCTGGGCTGAGTGGGGGCCCAGCCATCTGTCCGAACAGGCCCTCCAGGTGGTTCGGATGTGTGCTGAAGTTTGACCACTCCTGCTTGCCAGAGCTGTTAAAAGTTGGGGCTGTGAAGCCAAGACACCTGGCTGGAATCCCAGCTCAATCACTACCCAGCTCTCTCTCCTTCAGTTTCTTTACACCCAAAGCGGTGGCCACAGTATTGCCCATCTCGAAGGGGTGCTGTGAAATTAAGTGGGATAATGAGCACAACATCCTTAACTTACAGGCCGACACAGGCTCAATCAATGTTAAAGACCAATAGTACTTGTACTTGTGCTATTACTTATAGCTTAGTGGGGGTGCGGGAGGAACGCACATAGCAATTGGGTGAAGCTGACGCCCCCAAAGTGGCTTTATTTCACAATGCCAATGAGGACAACCATATCGGTTCCTCGTTTTTTTGTTTTTTTTTTGAGCTTTCATGAAGGTAGATCACCTAGCGGCTAGGTCCTAGCCTCTCATTCATTTCTCTCCAAAACGTGCAGGTGTTGCACTTGGTGAAAACAAACAATTCCAACACCATGTGGTTTATCACAGCAGCTAGAATTCTTGATTTCCTTTCTCAGTGAAGCCAGCGCTTCCTGAGGGTCCTCCCAAAGCTGAAAGATACCCTTCCTGCAGGCCCTCTGAGGAGCCCTGTACCCTCCAGACACTGGGCTTCACACAGACTGTTCCCTATGCCAGGCCTGCTCTTCCTGCTCTCTACCTGGCTGAACCTTTGAGCTGTCTGGGGCATTTCCTCTGGTTCCATACCCTCTGTTGCTAGCCACCCTCTTTCTACTTCACTTGCAGAGTGCCATTGTCCCTCTCCTCCGCAGCACCAATCACAGCTGCCATTGCACGTTGATGCACGTGGTTTTGTGACCGATTGCCCATGCCCTGGGAGCTCCCCAAGGGTGGGCGTAGCGAGTGGATTCACTTTCTCTGCTCTCTGTGCCTTGTCTCAGTGGTTGGAATATAGGAAGCAACAGCAGGGACCTAGTTTTTTTATGTTAGACCACATTTTCTCTTTAGTTCTCTGACTCATAAACGTGGGATGCCAGAGTCCCCAAGTCATGTTCCATGTCATCTGCCCCACGTTGGAGGGCAGAGCATGGTGACTAGGTTAGCGCACTGAACGAACATCAGGGCCAGCCTTGCTTCACTCTGGGAGCTGTTGGCTCAAATAGGCTTGGCAGGAAACACACAGCCTGCCCCAGAGCACCAGGACTTGTCCTGGTGAAAGAAGAGGCCCCTTTCCCAGCCATAGCTCAGCCCCAGTCATGCCTGGTCCACTGTGTGCCCACCAGGACAGACATCCAGGTCCAGCCTCGCCCCTCACAGGCAGACCTCGTATTATCGTCTCACTTTACTGCATTTCACACATTGCACTTTTTTACAAGTTGAAGTGAAGACGCTTCCCAACAAAGTGGTGACGCCTCTCTTTCCTGTGACACTCGCTTTGTGGCCTTGGTCTGGAACCCAGCCACAGCTCCTTGGAGGGTTGCCTGTGTTTTCAGAAGAGAAGACTCAGATATTTAGAAAATATAGATATTTAGGAAAAAAGATATAGATATTTAGGGGGAAAAAAGCATTATTTCCCATATTTGTACACGAATGCATTGATATTGTCTTCACAGCTGGATCACATTCTGGCCAGCCTCTTTCCCTGGTCTCCTATGCCAGGGCCCAGTTTTTTAATCCTGTTCACCTTCTCCTCTTCCACTGGCAATGGTCATTGGTGCTGCATAACCAGATCAGAAACATACTTGAGGCTGTAGGATGTCTCTTTGTAATTCACTATTTAAGAAATCCTGGTGTTGCTAAGTCAATTACTCTGTGCCATCTTCTGTCCCCTCTCCTTTAAGATATGGCAGTATTCAGTCAGTAGGTAGTTCTTTTGCATCTCTTGGGTAAAAAGTAATATGTCAATCCAGAAGCAGGCTAGAAAGTGGAATAAGCTTATTGGGTGCAACTTCAATGTGAAATGAATCCCATACACAAGTAAATTTAATATTTGACTAATATATTAAGTTATTTTACCAAGTGAGGATCAAAATATGTGAGGTTGGCATTTATAGGAGGGAGAAATAGCTCTGTTTTGGGTGAGCTATTTCTCAAAGTTCATAGCAATGGTGAGGTTCAGTTAGAGCTGCAATGTCAAGCATGTGACCCATTTCTTTGTAGTCAGATCTCAGTGACTCCTCCTTTGAGGTGGGCACTTGTCCCTTTCCTCATTTTACAGACAAGAAACTGAAGCTCAGGTAGCTTGATTGATAGTCCAAGGGCACATAGCTGTGGATAGTGAGGCTAAAATTTGACTCAGATGCCTTGTGGTTCCCCGTCTAACTTAGCTCTTGAATGGTGATCTGCTTTTGGTGAGGATGTTGGCAGAAAAGCCATTCCCAGCACAAGGAACAGCATGTGCAAAGGCATGATGGCATGGAAGAATGAGACAGAAGTTGTTTTGCTATAGCTAAATGATCTGCTCTGTGGTTCTGGGCCCAAACTAAATATTGGCTGCTCTCCCCTGTTGCATCAGATCTGTTCTGAGTCCTGTTGGCAGAGGCTCGCCCTGCCTTCTGACCCTCAACAGACACTATCTTCTTATGTTGGAAATGCTGAAAGAGAATCCACAGCCTAGCTCGGAATGTGCTCACCTCAGCATCTGGGATTAGGGTTTTGCGCTGCTTGACAAGTGCTCTCTTGAACTGTAGTCCTTTTGATCAAAATGAAAACAGCTAAAAGCGATTCTCACCAACCTCCTTAGCGTGTGAAATCCCTGCCTCCTTTTTAAGGATAATGGTACTTGGGGTTTCGCCGATCAACTCTGAAAAGCTCTGAGAAGCACACTACAGTGTTCTCCAGCAAGCCAGTGTCACTGCTGTGTGTGCGTGTGGGTGTGTGTTGTGAAGTGCCCTCCTTTGGCTCAATCTGCTTGGCTTACCTGCAGTTCCACTCTGCTGCCGAACCTGCTGGAATCCTTTGGTAATCAAAGTTGTGCTTCTGTTCAAACCACAGCTCCGTTCAATGATGGGGCTCATTGGTCCTTTGCCAGACTCATAAATCATCTGTAAACTCCATGGGGAGATATTAAGGAAGGTTATTAATTACACTACCATCCTTTAGAAAACATGAATGTAGAAACACATGTTTTTGTATTCAAGGTCATCCTGTGACCCTCACAAAGCCTTGAGATATGCAAGCTGCATAAGATCTCATTAAACCCATTTTAATATTTAGGGATTTTAAGTCAGTTTCCCATGGTGGTGGAGCTGTGAGCTTCTTTTCCAAGCTGTTTCACTCAAGGTATCCCAAGAAATTTCTGGAGAATTCCAGGATCTCTTTCTCTTCCCTTCCTGTGAGGCCCCTTGTCTCTGGGATGACTATATGCATAGTGATCAGAGAGATGCTGCAAGATAATGTGGGGCTTTGCTTAGTCTGGGTTTCGTTTACACAAACATGCCCATACAAAAACATTCATGTGCATGTACATGTGTGAGTACACCTAAGCAGTTTGCCAGCACACTACTACACACATTAAAATAGTGATATACATTCTTGTACATATGCATACATGGGCAAGGTTTACACATGAACACATGTGTACATCTGTATGAATTGACATATTTACACATCTACACATTTATACCCATAAATGCACACAAACACAGGCACAAAAATACCTGTAAACACAGGTATTTTTTTACACACATACACAAAATACAGTTAGAGATATTCTCATACCTTTACCATGAAAGAACTGAAAGAAGGTGAAGGGAAATATCAGATATAATACCACCATGTGAAAAAATACAGAAGAACATTCCTGGAATCATCTGTGTTGTCCAGCTCCCCTAAAGCAGTAGACGGCAAACTCATTAGTCAACAGAGCCAAATATTAAGAGTACAATGATTGAAATTTCTTTTGAGAGCCTAACTTTTTAAAATTAAACTTCTTCTAATGCCACTTCTTCAAAATAGACTCTCCCAGGCCGTGGAATTTTGTGAAAAAGCCACACTCAAGGGGCCAAAGAGCCACATGTGGCTTGAGAGCAGCAGTTTGCCGTTCTCTGCCCTAAGGTCACCCAGCTATAACTTTATTGAGAATGTGATCAATCATGTATTTTAAGTTGATAATTTTTCCCCCTTTCCCTGGGGCAGGTGACTCTGCAATGTGTGATCTCTGACTCTTGTATCTGTCTAAACCAGTGGTCGGCAACTGCGGCTCGCAAGCCATGGTTTACCACTCTGTGGACCAAGGAGTTTGCTGACCACTGGTCTAGGCCACATGAAATAAACCTCAACCCTGTCTGTCTGCACTTCTGCACCCCTCCTGAGTGGGCGGGAAGTCTGGTACCCAGCACACCTCCAGGTCCTGATTGTGGGCCACCCTGACGCAGCCTAATTTTCTCAGCCTGCCCACCTCCTGTTGTCTCCAACCTCCTTAACCAAGGTGGCAACTCTCTTCAGTTCCTGTGTTTTGGATCATGTGACCAGACTAACTTCGCCAGTGTGGGGGTGGTGTGTCTGCATGGGGAAACGCACTAATATGGATGTTTCTCTTTGTGTGTGCACCCTTGCAGTGTTGTTTACCAGGATGGATTTTATGGTGCAGACATTTATGTAAGTATTCATTAATGTGCATGCCATCCTTGTTTCCTCCCAGAGTTATTCTTTTTACAAGTTTGCTGAGAATCTCTCTACTGTGTGGTGCTGTCCATTCCCTCTTCGTGGGCCGTGAGAGAGTCTGAGGCTCGCAGGCAGCGGGACTGCTGCTCATGAGAGCATTCCCACGCTGTGAGTGAGTGGAAACAATGCCTGGACCAACCTCAGAATAAATGCAGACACCGCCCCTCCTCCAAAAATGCCATTTCTCTCCTGTCAAATTAAGACACACACACCCCTTCCCTGAAAAACAAAACAAAACACACACAAATAAACATTCTCTCTGAAGTTTCCAGTTTGGTCTATGTATTTTCAGTTCACTATTTAGGATAACAGCTGTAGATATCAAGGGTTAAAAGACATTTTCATGGCTGATGTTTCCTTATAAATATATTTATTGTAAAGCCCTAGAAAGATATTTCCTCTCTCCCTTTCTTTCTCTGTCTCTTTCTCTCCATCTCATTCTCTCTCTCTCTTCCTTTATATTTTTCTATGTCCACCCCTCCATGGATGGTTTTAGCAAGAAATATCTAACAAAAGTAGGCCAGCTGAAGCATTAAACTCCTATTTCCTTCAACCCCTTATTTCTTCATGTCCACAGAACAGCTCCCTAACTTAGAAGTGTTTGTTAAATGTAGAATTGTTGGTTAAATAGTACCACTTTGTTAAGCTGTTCACTTTTAGGAAAGTGTTTCTCATTATGGGGGCCATAATTAAACTTACCTAAGTTGATCTAGAATTACTTATTCTCCTTCATCGTGATATTAGCAGCAATGTTATGAAAATGACTTAAAATAAACGCAATTTAAAATAAATTAGCAGGATTGGAGGGTATTTTTGAAGTTGTATGCTTTTTTATTACAAGTGACCCCAAGTAATTTCACTGCAGTCATACTTGTTTTATAGACCAGATAACAAAGAAAAATAAAACCACATTGCTGATCAAATTGATGTCATTTACTAGAAAATGGGAAAGACACTGGTTATTTAATTTTTCCCTTTGAATTTCAAATAATTACACTTTGAGACATAGTATTAGTCTCCATCAGTGATGAACTTAGTTGAGTTCTATTATTATTGCATCAAGTACATTTATTGTAATCTGCAAGTTAGCTCTTTTCTATAATAATACTTATTAATGATTTACATGTTCTTTATGCACTCAGTGAACAACCAACTTTCATTTTTGCTTGATTTACTCCTTTGCAGTCTCCTTTTCCCAGACTTTCCATTTATACCATCTTAAATAGAAAGGCAGATGGAGGCTGAGCAGGCTGGACCTCATCCATACCCTTAGATACCCAGTGAACCCATCAGTCTACACACTCCCCATTGTTCTCCCTGGATAGCATAACCAAATGGAGGGACTACAGTTGGCATAATTCATTTTAGTGCTTTATTTATTTACTTATCTTAAATTTTGATTTGAGAGAGAGAAGCAGGGAGAAGGAGAGAGACAGAAAAGCATTGATGAGAGAGAGAAACATTGGTTGGACCACCTCTTTATTGCTACCCTTTGGGGACTGAACTCTCAGCCCCACATGTGCCCAGATTTGGAATTGAACAGGCAACCTCTTAGTGCACGGGTCCACACTCAACTAACTGAGTCATACTGGCCACAGCAGGGTTTTTTTTGTGTGTTTGTGTTTTTTTTGTTTTTTTTGTTTTGTTTTGTTTTGTTTTTAATGTGTGTGTGAAATTAAAGGGAGTAAAGAAAGGATGAAGAAATTTTAAAAAGAAAAAATCCACCAAAAAGAGAACTATCTTCATCAACACTTACCCCAGGGGAGAACAATGTAGATGTTATTTGCTTATTATTATATTAGTTATCATTTATTAGTTCACCTCTCTGTAAAATGATAATAACTTGTTGCATTATTTTATTCCTAATAAAGAATTGAATTATTAATGGAAACTATTCTATGGAGATATCAAATTAGCCTTTTTCTCTTGCTTCATAGATTTTTGTCTAGTAGAAGCTTGTTGAAGGCACAGCTGTAAGACTCCACAAACAAAGAAATAGAATGACTTGTAACTGATAGTGTGTAGATTTGTATTGGTTGGGATAAATGAAAATCCCTAAGAACGAGGCGAATGGAAAGAGCACAGAAAGTTAGAAAAGGGAAAATATACCAACATCCACTCTAAAGTAGAAAGAGACATTCCATTGAGAAAGGAAAGCTCCAGAAAACCCCTTTGAGTTTTTTGGTTCCTTTAAGAGCTTTTGTTTCCCACAAATTCATCATATTTGGGCAAAGAACACCAGGCTCAGTGGTACAGTAGGTATCTGAGTGAGGTATAAATGAAAGGAGTTATTTCAGTAACTTCAAGTCCCAACACCAGAATGACTGCCCTTTTCTGGGCATCCCACTTCCTCTTGCCCCTTCTCCTCTTCATTGTTCAAGGCTTTCCATCTCTCCCTCCTGATATGGATGCCCTCAGGCATTTCTGATTTGAGAGAACTGCAGGACCCCCTGCAACTGGCCAGCAACAACCTCCTACCTAGAATTAGCTCCTTCTTCACCTTTCAGAGCAGAGAGGATTGGGGAGAGATGGAGAGATGCTCAGAGATGCTGGGAACTAAAGCAAACACCAGGAAAGTGTGTGTAGGCTGAGGGCAAAGAAAAAAGCATCTTATACAGGAGCCCAGCCAAGCAGGAGAATCACTGCCTCTCACCACACAGGACATGGTCAGGCCTAGTGTGGATGCCACTCCTCACAAAGGAAGTATGGGATTTCTGAGTCAGGAAGGAGGCTAGGAAAGGTCACACCTGGATTACTTCCACCAGGTAACAACATACCCCTACCCCCCCTCCCGCACACCTCCCCCCACACACATTTTTATATCAAAAGATGGGAATTTAGTTGACATAGCTAGCACGTTAAATCTACTAGTTCAGTGTTATTACTTAGTGGTGGATATTTAAATCAATCCTTCTAAATTAAAAAGTGGGTCAAGTTAAAGAAAAAAATCAACAGTAAAGGTGACACATGGGTATGACAGTGGTTAGAAAGGTGAAGTGGGAAGACTAAATTGCCTGGACCTGAGACATAATCTGTCACACTTAGGAATGGAGCTATAGCCTTCATGAAGCCGGAATTGATCAGGGATTGGGAAATAAGTGTTGCTTATGTGATCTTAGCCAAGACACTTACCTTAATCCATGCAGGGAGATGTCAAAGAATTGGGCATTTGATCAAAGGTTAGCTATCGAAAAACGGAAAGAAGGAAATGACAACAAAGCTTTCAAAAGGAATTGAATGGAAACTAGAGGAAGACAATGGAGTTGCAGTGGGAAGAGGGGAAGCGAAGACCATGAAGGAGAGTGAGAGAGGGAACTGGCAGATAAAACAAATGTTAACCACATGCCCTTGTATTGGGAGAGCCCCAAGTTTTCTAACAGGCAATACAACCTTGAGACTGCCTGGCAAATGTGTCAATGAGATTCCAGCGCATTTTCACATCATTCCTAAATTCTGTCATGACAGCATCTGGTTGACAGCATGGCTAAATACAGTTATTTCAGAATTCATGTCACTCTGCTGTCCATGGATCTTAAAGCAAAGAGGTGTCCTCATTCCACCGCTGGTGGAGCTCAGTAGCTTCAAGAACATGCAAAGCTGGAGAGTGGAAATTCTCTAAATAAAAATCCCACTTGCTTATTCTGAGACCCTGTTTTCAGTGTGAGTCCCTCAGCATCAGCACTGGGCATCTAGGAGAGGTGACAGCCCACCAGAACGTTAAGCATCTATAGATGAAGAGATAGTCAGCCTTCACCTCCTCTCTTCACCTAGTTCTGCAAGGGAGCAGTCTCATTACCTATTATCTCATCTTATTTTTCCAAACCAGAAATGAAATATCTCCCTCCTCTTCTCTCTCTCTCTCTCTCTCTCTCTCTCTCTCTCTCTATATATATATATATATATATATATATATATATATCCCAGAAATTATAAAGGCAGTGTTTATTAAAATACATTTCATTTTCAAAATTGAGCTACCAGCTGTTTAAGTATGTATACATTTTGGGGGATTCCAGAGCATTTTCACAACATTCCTAAATTCTGTCATGACAGTTTCTGGTTGACAACCATGGCTAAATACAGTTATTTCTGAATTCATGTCACTCTGCTGTATATATATACCTTTACAAGGCAGGTCCCTAAATCTCTTAAAATATTCACCTGGAAGTCTGACCTAGGACTGGAAATTTCACTTCAAACTAGAAAGATTAGCCACACCCATGAAACAATTGTATTTCAGAAATCACCTGCATTTGTCCTTTGGTTCTTTTGACATCTTGTCAGTGTTATACTTGAATGAAGTAATAACATGTTAACAGCACATATATTTTCTAGACTCATGCACATGTACACACACACACACACATACACACACACACATTATTTTTCTTGTCATATCTATTCAAAGTAGCTTTGTTAGCTTCCATGTGCTTTATTAATTTATGAAATACAATTGTGCTTTTTGATGTTAGTGGAAATTAAATTTAAGAAACACAGGTGTTGATACAGTTATGGTTGCTACTCTACTGTTACCTTAACTGCTTCAATAAGTTGACATTGAAGTTAAATCCTCAGGTATTCTGGAGAATTCTATTCATGAGCTCAAGAGAGAAACTTCAAAATAGTTAACTGAACCATTGGAATGTGGAAGGACAAAAAGCCATGAAAATGTCTTTTCTTCCTCCTTTAAAAAGAAACATGGATTATAACACAAATCATTGAGTTATTTGATCCCATTTCCCCTTCTTAATTCTCTCAGTTACAGAAATTTGCAACTAGAATTGTTTGGCACTGGTTCCTCTCCTGGTTCTTAGTAAAGAGAAGCAAACTTGTAAATGAATTGCTCTGGAATTTCGGTCTGACTTTGTATTTTCTTTTATTTATTTCATTTTTGCATTGAAAACATTACATTTCTGTTTCCTTATAGAGTAGTGTATCAAGAGCCTGTGTATGGCAATAAATTGCTACAGGTATGAAATCCTGACTGGTGGAAAAAACTCATCACTCTGGTTGTGGGTTTGCTGTGAAATCTTACTAACAAGACCATTCCAGGGAGGGAGATATCTTCTAACATAGGAGGAAAGACTGAACTGAATTTTCCAGTTTTGATGTGAATTCTCCAAGAATGGAGATGATCCTCCTCAAATTTCCCCTTTGCTAGATCATGAGTGTATCAAAATGGGGGTCTGGCTTGGCTATAAATTTCTTAAAATGCATCTGGTCTCAATAAATATAAATTCAGTGAAAAAGGGACTTTAGGGTTTCATTGAACCAATTGTCTAAGAAAAATTTTAGTAGGTTCCAGGAGTCATCTGGACTGTTTAAATAAGGAAAACAAACAAACAAACAAAAAAAAACTTCTTATGCATCTAGTATTGAGGATAGCTAATATATTTCTTCATGGTTTCATTGTGGGCTCTTATAAATTTCTTTCACACCCATTGCTATAGCTTCCAAACCTACCTCTCACTGCCAAAGCAACCCCCAAGGGAATAAATTTGCAGGAAGAAAAGGAGCCCCACATTTATTGGAATATAGATGGCTGAGTCTCCAAATTTGGTCTAAAACCAACATTAAAACTGTCAAATAAAATGAAAGAAGAATGTAATACTACGGTAATCAGTGGGAGTTTTATTACATGAGTTTTCCTATAACCTGCAATTATCATTTTTGTTCAGTACTAAGTCCATTAAGAAAGTACATTTTTTACTGTGAAAATTAATCATTTTAGTAAGAACTCTATTATGAAAAAGGGGTACTTGAGACTAAGAGAGGACACATTAATTAAAACTCCTGACATGAACTTTAGTTTTACCTTTCAAGAAAACTTGCCACATTTCAAAAACAGCTGAATGTATAATGCAGATAAATTCGGGAATAATGATTTATATTTAAGTTTCTCATCTTGCAAATGTCCTTGTAAATGTTGTTTTCAGACATAAAATCTTGAGTTCATTAAATATACACCCATCTACCCGCTTTGCTCAAAGTGAGATCCAGGGATATTCTTGCAGAGGAGGAGATGTGTCCGTGATCAAGCCCATCACAGTCTCACCCTTCCCAGGTCCCCACCAACACCCCCAAGTTTCACCTCCCCCAAGTAATTCATCATTAGGATAGTAGAACATCTTTTTTCCAAAAAGTAGTCTCTAAAGTTAACCATGGGATTTCCTTTGTCAAACTACTTTGCAATGCAGTGGAGATCCATGGTGCTCCTTAGCATTGCTTTAAGTTCCACAAATAGAGCAACCACTTCCATAGTGCTTAATTAAGTAATTCCCAAGCCTATCTGATCCAGATACCTTCCTTTTCCCTGCTACTATTAGTATCCCAGCAGTACATTTCTGAAAATACTTTATTAGGACATCACTAGAGATTCCTAATCAGTAACTTCCCCCAAAGGACCTCCAGGGGTTTCGGTAACAAAGGAAATGTTTCTGACTCCGTGAGCCAGTATCTTAGGAGGCTACATCCTTCCGATGGTGGTGGCAGGGGAGGGAGGGGCAATTTATAAGGGCCATTTAAAATTTATGTTTCATATAAGGTCACATTTATATTTTGCTGCTGTCCGGCATGTGAAAAATGAGTATGTCTTATGAGTAGGGAGTATAGAACAATGTTGTGCTTGTCACCCTTTTTCCCTTGGGAGTGGGAAAAATCTCACTGTCAAGGATGCATTTTTGTCCTAAGATCTGGGAGGACCAGTTTCAACACGGACATGGTTTGGTGACAGCAAATGGAAGTGAGCTCTCCATTTTCAGACATTAGCACAGAACCTTGCAGCAGCTCTGGCTATGCTCAGCGAACTGCAAAATATGGAGCAATAAAATTGATGACAGTTACCTGTTAGAAAGGCAAATTAAAGCAATTTGTATTTTTTTGATAATTTTACAGTATTTGCACACAGACACTGAGTTAATACACAACTCTGTTATTCCCCTAATATGGATTTTATACAGATGAAAAACAGTCCAGAAGGCAATGAAGTAGATAGATGTGCAGGTATTAGGCCACCTAACCCTTTTCTTTTCCCAATTGTTACCTATTTCAGGGATCAGATAGACCTGGGCTCATTAGGGTTGCCACCAGTCCCATGTGGCTATTTATATTCAAATGAACCCAAATTCAGTAAATTACAAATTCAGTTTGTTGTACTAGCCACATTTCCAGTATTCAGTAGTCACTGACAAGTGGCTACCATATTGTACAGCACAGACACAGGACATTTCCCTCATCACCACATGGTCCACTAGACAGCAAGGAGACCACAGATCAAGGTCAACATCTTTCCACTGGCTCTACAGACTTTAGCAGATGATGGCCTTGATTCTTGAATCTGGAAAGCTTGTAAAAAAATTCCTAATAAACAAAAATAAGCATTAGGGCTCTGACCACTGGTGCCAGTATTGCATGGAAACACACTCCTATGTTCTCTGAGTGACCAAATCATATTCAGCTATGTAGAGGAAATGTCCTCTTAAAGCTTCATAGACGAACATGTCTGTTGCATGGATGGATCCGCAATGTGCACATATCCATGTTAGGTTCATACAATAAATATGGGCCAAGTGCTCAGTAAGGTTCAAGTTAGTTCCCTTCTGCGTGTACTGCCACAGTTACTTCCACTTACCAGACTCTTTACCTAATTTCATTGACACAAACTACTGCTGAAGTTGAGGGAGACATACAGAGTTCAAACAAAGAGGATTTGCAAGTGGGACATGGCTAAAAATCTTTGCTAGGACCAAATTCACAGTCACCAAAGCATGACTGACATGGCATTTGATGCAAATATCTTGGCAGGATTTCTTTCTCTCTTTTTTTTTTTATTCTGGGAGTGAGAGACAAAAATAACACACACTCACACACACACATGCATACATCTACATGCACACACACACACTTTCTCCACTCAAAGCTTTCAACTGGTTGCAGCTAATGCTTCCTAGCCATCAGCTAGCCAATTCCAGCCCCCTCCTCCTCCTTTATTAAGTGCACTGCATAGGCCTGCACACCCGTGTGTTTTGGATGCATCAAGAAAGCCATGGAGATGGACAGGCAAATGAAAAGAATGGCTCCAGAAATCCGGTGACCTCTTTCCCCTCAGCCCACCAGCCTGTCTGAACTTGGTGCTGGTGTGACAACTACTTCTTTGGTTTTACAACTCCTCAGCACATTTAATGAGTTTCCCTGCTCCTAATTAGAGAACATGGTGTTTGGAACACCAGGTGGTGTCTGGCTAAGACCTCATGTTTTGTTTTGTTTTTGTTTTTTACTTTTACATTGTTTTTCAAGGGAGACTTTTTTCTTTTATCTGGCTCCAAATTATTGCTGACTATCTGTCAGAATGTCTTGGATCTGTCTCCTCCAGGACTGATCCGAAGAACAAACTTGTGCAAGGCTAAACTAGCTTTCTAGAATTGCTGTGTAAGTGATGGCACAATTCCTCTGAAAGTGAGCTGTGGGTGGTAGAAGGTAGAAATAAATTATTGAGACCAGTTTAATCTACATTTTAAAAGAGGAATTTTGAGCTTCCCCATTCATCTGCCTCCTATCCTACTACTTGGTTTTCCCCTATAGGATATGAAGCCAAATGTAACAAACTCCTCTATTCTCAAATCTACTCTTAGATACCCTCTGGCACATCCATGGTCTTGCTGTTAAGTACTCCCTGGACAGAGTTGTCTGTCCTGAGTTGCCAGCAGAGGATTATGGGGCTGCATTCCTATTAGAACCTGAAAGGTCCCTGTCTTATCGGCGGAGCCTGAAGCCTGTTTGTTAATTGTGCTGAGATCATTCTATGGTGGCTGATGTCTCGCCGTGGTTGGCTGAGCAAGACGCTCTGTTATTTTCACAGTTTGATAATCAATGCTCTGCTGAACACATTCCTTTCAAATATGCCCATTTGCTTGTCCTCTGCTTAATTGAACAATTGCAATTACTGGTACATACAACTAAATGTTAATTATTTTTTCAGATTTTTTTTTCTCTCTTAATGATTTTATTTACAAATTGGAATCATTTATTATATTTTCCACACTGAATTCCCCATCCGAATCTTTGTGATATCTTTAGCCAAAAAGACGGAATTTTTAAGAAGCATTACCATTTCTTTAAAAAATAAATATGTAAGATATGGAGAGCTAAGGACTGTCTTTTTTAATTGCTTTAGGGTTAAACAACTATATATGCAAGAGATTACTAGTAGCTTGCCTTCTAAGGGGTTTAAAAATAAATAAATATAAAAGACAAAGAGGGTAGTAGTTTAACTTATACTGGATTTTTAAGGAAGTAATCAGACTGTTTGAATAAAATGTAAATTACTAGTTCATAAGTAAAGATAAAGTATAATCAGTTTTGAAAATCTGGAAAGTTCAGCAAAGTATCAGTAGTATTTAAATAATTCCCCATAATCCTCCCCATCCCAAGACAATCACTGTTAACTCATACTGTACATACTCTTCAAAGGGTATCTGGGTTCTCCCCTGTGGATACGCTTATACTTGCTAACCTTTAACCTCCGGCCGGGGTTGGTCTACAATCCCCTGTCTGTCTGGTGTGTTTTTTTGTACTTCCGCTCTGACACTAAGCTTTCATTAACCTCCACTTTAGATTGGTAGATATGGGTAACTGCTGTTCTGGTGTGGTTTCACTGTGGGGCATCCCTGAATCGGGCTCCTTGGCATGTCTAAGTCCACTTTCTCCTTGTGTTTTAGGGTGGTTATGCTGCATACCGCTACGCCCAGCCTACCCCAGCCACTGCAGCTGCCTACAGTGACAGGTAAGGGTCTTCCTTTTTCTGCTTGACAGCTACTTGGAAATTACCTCAGCTGGTGGGGAGACGAGATCTGTGTCCAGTCTTTAGGCAAATGCATGACATCTGGGTAGGCAGCACCCACCAAGTTAGGTCCCACGTGAGACTACAAAGAGGGCCACTTAGAGACAGGATGGACAGCGAAGCCCAGTTCATTCCTAACTCGTGCCCTCTTTGCTAAGACACAAAGAAAATGGTATGTTTTGTTTGTGTATAGATCTTTCAGCACACCTTGCATGTACATGCACACTCCCTGTGCAACCTTCTTATGGTCTTCTCTGGAAGACCATGGTTGCATCCAGCTAAGATGAAGAAAACAGAAGATGATCCTGCAGGCTTACCCATTTCCCCTTGTTACAACTCTTTACACCCAGGAAACCACTATTTAATCTACCATAAAGGAATGGGGGAGGCATAGCTGGCATTCCTAAGTAGATTGGTTCTTTTGGCAACATCCAGTGCCCAGTCCTACTAAGACAAGCCGACTTTTGTTTGTAATGCACACCACACCCTAAGACTGGCAGCAGAAGGGACAGAAATGGGTTTAAAAAATGCATAAGTCATAATGGATGGCGGGGGAGGGTTGGTGTGGAAGAGCTTTATGACCAATTACCCAAGCTTAACAGATGACTCGGTTCCTGAAACGACAAGCCACAGCTATTTCTGTTTAGGTTCCTTGAAAAAAAGAAAGTGTGTGTTTCCATATTGAATGCAAACGCGTTGGCTCTGTTTCCTGAGGACATAAATGTGAATGTTCAGATGCTCTGCATGCTCAAATGTCACTGAGGGTGCTTATTTTGGGTAATGACTCCTTTGATTTAAAAATATGTTTCATGAATAAAGCAGTGATGATAACAATTTGCATGTGTGGCTGAGGCATGCTGGGTCAGACAGGTAAGCAAGGAGATGTATTTGATCTTGAATGGGATGTGTCGGCAGCCACTGGTCCTCCTCCCCGGCCGGTGGTGACTGGGTTCCTACCCCTGGGTTTGCTCTGGTGCTTTCTTTCCCTGCAGTTCCATTCCATTCCTCACAGACGTGTTGTGAGCTCATTGCGGCTACAGGGTTCTTCTGAGGTCTAATACAGCAAAGGAAATTGCTGAGCCCGAAGAGGGGCACTTTGAAAACTGCATGCATACACATGTAATAAAATGGCTCTTAGACAAGGTAGAGTTGAGATCTGCCTTCTGCTTGTATGCAGGTATTATTACTATATTCTTAAAAACAACCATAACAAGGCATCAAGGCTGAAGGGAGCCTCCAAAGAGATTCAAACAATTGGCAAGATTCAGATCCAAATACATAAATTATGCAGTTACCCAATAATCACTTGTTAAGATGCAAAATAGGTTTTATGTAAGTTGCTATCTTTGATACATTTTGACACTGGATTAGGAAAAAGAGAGGGTCAGTAGGTTAATAAAAACGTTGACAGTCTTGAAGTATTTAAGATTATCCTATAAATGAAAAGGCTTAACACTGTTAAATTCTGCACGCCAAAGATTCACAAAGTATCAATGGTAATATGGTTTATCTACAATCCATAATTATTTTTATGAAAATATTTCTAGATACTAAATTCGCAAACACCCACTTTGTATGTAATTATAATCATAGTAACTTAAGCCTGCTGTATAATTATAAGAATCTTAAACAGCTTTATTTTTGGAGGGATTTTTATCTTGCTTCTCAGTATAAGTGCATCTATCCCCAAGTTGAAAACAAGGTTAATTACAAAGATCTCATTTAAATTGCATTCTTCAATAAGACCAATTTAGACATTTAAAAAAATAATGTTTAACACTATTCTTAAATAGAATTACTTGAGGATCTGTTCATCTCCATTTATATTCATCTAAAACTTAAGTTAAACTGTTGTTGCATTTGGGGGCACCATATATGCAAATATGTGTATGAAAACCTGTTATTTTAATTTTATTAAGATTCTCATTGGCAACATGTCTGACTGAAAAATTGCCCTCATCCTTGAATTGGTAAATTTTGAATAACTTTACAATTCCCACTTGAGTATAATAGTTTCAGTTGAAGAAACAAACTCAGTGGTAATAGTCTTGTCCATGTAATTGGCCTCTTGCCGTTCATTAAAAAATTTGCACATTAGGTTTTCTTGCTTGCTGTGTAAATTGGTTACCAACCCTATTTAACTGTATTATAAGCAAGACATGTGCCACATATGGAAATATGGCATTGAGGTAAACGCAGTAATAGGTAAATTACCAGAAAACAATCTTTAAAATGTTATTTCTGGTTTGATTTGTAAAGTGTATTTATGAAACAGTAATCTCCCCTATTTCTTTTTCAAAGAGGTAAGGTGAAGAAAGACCTTTTATAGAAGACACATGTTTTGAGGAAAATGTGAAATTATCAGAATAGCTTTTGAATCTAGATTGAAGATGCCAAGTATTTAGAATTTATCTTAGGGCAGTTGTGTAATATTTTAGTTTAACACAATCACAGTGTACTGTCAGTAGTGATCGATTCTTCATTCCTGTTCTCTAGAAGATAAAGAGAAAAACTCCTTAACCCAAAGAAACCCTTCCAACATAGGAGCTAAAATCAGCAGGAATCAGAATGTTTTGGTAATGTCCATAGTTATCAACCTGTTCCAAAGAGAAACTGCAGCAACCTGCCCTGTAACCATGAGTCTTTTCAGAAGTCTTGAAAGTGAAAGAAGTTGGTGTCCCCAGTTGGTAGAATTTTACCTTTCATCAGCACAAATTAAGTTTTCAGCAAATTAAAAATTCAGGGACTTTTGAAAAATATTGAACTCAGGTAACCTCAGGACTGCCCAGAAGGTCCTTGATGGGCAGCTTGCAACTCTCTGCCCATCATTTTCTTGGTTAAACGATCACATGCTGATTATCTTGGAGCATACTGAGAGTTTCTGAATGCTGACCTCTAGAATGAAGACCATCTGGTGTGGGCAGAAATTTCCCCAAAAGAAACAGACCTGACTGGACTAGGTAATTTTATAGTCTCCTTGATGCATTTAACGGGAATAGGCAAACATCTTTCCTCTGCATTTAGGAAATATTTGGTAAGCACATGACCTCACCAGATCTTTATTTCCAACCTAACTTTGATTTATGAAAAGCCAACTGTCCAAACTGTCAAAGGAGATTGTGTTCTGAGCTTGAACCAATGAAAGCATGGCAGTGGGGCCGACGGTCATCTGGTCATTGCATGTCACTTGGTGTTGCTGATGTGTCCATGATATGTTCTGGATTTGACAGGTCCATCATCACATTAGCTCGAGGAATGGCTTGCTTGGATGTAGCCTGTGGGCAGGCTTCTCTCTACGGATTGGCTCTTGGTTTCTTTGTGTATTATGACTTGATGGTTGTTGCATCTTGGAGCAGCCAAACAAGAGGATGGGGTGGGGGAGGAATTTCCTGTTCAATGAATTATGCTGCAAATGTCTGGGGAAATACCTATGGTGTGTACATAGCTTGGATGAAAATGTGAACTCTTCGGAAAGGCAGGTATTTGTCATGCTTGTCCTGCTTGCTGACATCCTAACATCTAACAACCAGTGCATGAGAATGTCCCTCCACATTAGGACTGAAGGGAATTAGATGCAGACCAGCTCAAGAAGAAAGTGATACAAAGTGGTTCACTCAGAAATTTCATAATGATTCCATTGCACTGATAGTTACCAGGGACCCTTACTTCTTTCCTATAAGATGTATTTCCTTTAAGAATCCCTAACATCAGCAGCTTTATACATACAATTAGAGACCTGGCAGTGCAGATGACTCTAGACTGAGCAAAAGAGACAGCAAGCAATTGGGCTTTGTTTCTTTTCTTCCCCTTTCAATTCGTTTTATTTTTTAGATCTTTGTTTTACTGGCAGGATTAGACTATATCGTATGAAATTTCTATTTTTGTAGGACAAACATGGTGAGATGGCAAGTTCAACTTAACAGACAATCTAATGAAAATGCCTAATACCAATTGTCTAGCTCTCTGCATTTGAAATATATATGTATATTCATATATATATGTGTGTGTACAACACACATACACATACCTGTGCCTTAGAACCTCAGGAAGGACTCACTAGAGCAGTGGTCAGCAAACCACGGCTTGAGAGCCACATGTGGCTCTTTGGCGCCTTGAGTATGGCTTTTCTGCAAAATACCACGTGCGGGCACACACGTACAGTGCGATTGAAGGAGTGCCCTAATTAAGTTAATAAGAATGTATTTACTTATATAGTTTAAGTTTAAAAAATTTGGCTCTCAAAATAAATTTTAATCATTGTACTATTGATATTTGGCTCTGTTGACAATGAGTTTGCCGACCACTGCACTAGAGTAGCTAGGTAAATGTTAATAAAATATGGCCAGGACTGGTCATACTCAGGCTGTAGTCACAAGCCACATGCTACAACACTGTTTAATTCTGATCCTCATAACTCACAAATTAAAGGTGCTGTTTAATTAGTAGTTCATTTTAAAAACTCAACAGAGATAAAGAGGCATGCCTTTGGGGTCATGGAGAAGCTGGTCTACTATTTTAAATTATATAGGTGATAGAGATAGTTATATATATATCTATACATACACACACAAATGTGGGTAATGGATAGATAGATAGATGGGTGGATAGAAAGATAGATAGATTAAAACATACACAGATTACATAGGTGGCCATGTGGATGAACAGAAATAGAGACAGATAGAAACAAGGAAGGAAGGAAGGAAGGAAGGAAGGAAGGAAGGAAGGAAGGAAGGAAGGAAGGAAGGAAGGAAGGAAGGAAGGAGCAGAAAACCAAATTTCTGCCTTCTTATACTATTTTGTCATTAGCATAACTACAGAAAATAGAACTAAAGCCAAATGTAGCTCCTAAGATTGATCTAAACTGAAGAAATAAAGGGATTTGAGTGTATTTTCCTTGAGTGCAGGCCACTCCCTCTGTATTTGAGAACTTATTACCTCCTATA